GGAAGGAAGGAAGCAGCAACGACAACTTGCCGCATCAGTCGTGAGGTGTTGCGCACCCTCCCAATCAGAGCAAACCAGCAAGCAAAACTAATTCTAATGCAACAAGAAAACACCACCCCACCAGCTTTCGTAATGTCAACCGAGCGAAACCATAGGAAGGGCTAGACTCTAGACACACCAGCAAAACTTGGCAATGGAATGTCCCAAACATTGTACAGTAATATATACTAATATTTTTGCGGAGATGGATCTCTAAGATTCTGGCCGACATGCATGAGTGTTGGGCCCTGTTGAATATCTCATTTGACAACCTGTTTTGAGTTGACAAGGTTACCTTTGATTCTTTTGTTTTTTATAATCACTGAAACAGTCAGCCCCTGAATATGTTGTAATGTTTTACATTCTGACTCTGACCACATTTTAAACCAGTATTTTAGTAAGTTACCTTAGACATTTAATTTGCTCTGAATCGGAAACATATCAGGACAGTGCACTTGAACCCTGCACAAGGTCGGGATGTCATGGTGGCAAGGTTTGTTAAGGGTTGTGATTATTAGCGCAAGTTTGAGACCCAGACGAGAACATTCCTTTCAGCAAGCTGCACGGCTCGTGTTGGAGTGGGTTGAGATTTCAACCATGCCCAGTGGATCCCGGCACGATGTATGATGATGTATGCAATTCTGCAAACCACTGATGTTTGGAAATGCACATGCATATCTATATATATCTATCTACATATTTAATATATACACGTATATTTTATATACATACATATGTATGTGTGTGTGACCATATATATATATATAAATACATATATATATATTATACTGTTCTATAAATAGCGGTCATTGATTCTACTGGGATTTAAGCTAATGAAACGCCGGCACCAAGTGGAGTGTGACTTGCAGTGTCGCAAATCGGAGCCACCAAGTTGCACGCATTTGGTTACGCACTGTCCCCCTTGTGAGGGCGAGTGACTGCATGTGACGCAGCCGAAAAGGGCCAAAGGGAACCGAGGGGCATCATCTTTTTGACCGGCACAGGTTTCCGTGGTCTCAGACTTAAAGTTGATCTCCAACTGGTAAGTGCTGAAGCCGCTTGAAGTGCTGCAGTGAGTTGCAACACGGACTTTCCGAACATCCTTTTGTTGCTTTGCCCTTAAGGAACTGGCGAGTTCTCCTTCGGATTCTGGTTGAACCTCGAACCCGGAGAACTTGAATTTTCAATCGTTTTGGCCTGTGTTCCTCCTCAAGGTCTTATCCCAGGGCCTTCCAACAGGCGCTCTGTGTGTATTTGATGTCACCAGGAAACACGTTTTAAAGCCTTAAAGTACAACCTGCGTGGGCTCTGATCCACGGCCATTCCGGGCCGAAGAAGACCGACGCCCGAGGCCACTGCCTTTGACACTGAAGAGCTGCCCAAGATCTTCTCGACCGCGCGGGCAGAGGACGGAAGTCTTTGCGATCCCGGGCAGATCTTTGGGGGGTTGTGGTGCTGCTGCTTGACTTTGCGTGTGGTGGTGGGGGGCCCTGGGTACAGGAGAGGTCCAGCTCGTTGTGACTTTGAGGTGGTGTTCATGAAGTAAAGATTGCAGGGTTGTGCTGCGCCCCGTGGTTTGTTCGACAGCGTTTCGAGTCACTGCTTTCGTCTTTTTTGCGGTGTGGTCCAAGCCAACGCTAAAAGTCAAACAATGAGGGCTGACATCCCTCCCTGATGATCCCTACTAGTTTGCAACCCATGTTCATGGACGGTGGTGTTTGTCAGGCACGGCAAAGGTGCCGACCCACGGCCTCTCACGTTTCTTCATGAAGGTCAACCCGAAGAAACACCCTAGCAAGTGCTTCGTGTGGGTTCTTTGCGTGTGAGGATGTGGCGGCCTTCGCTGCACAGGCATTCCCGGGCATTCCTTCCTTTGGCCGTGCAGACAGGACTAGAAGACCCCGCTATCTTTTCTGCAGAACCCCGATCCAATGCAAAAACGTTGCAGCATGACCCAGGTGGTCCCTTGCTCACGTTCCTCACAAATGAACTCGCACACCAGTCCGTCAGGGTCCAACGGTCGGCTCATCCTGGAAGGTCCTGCAACAACAACAACAGCTACTACTACTACTACTACTACTACTACTACTACTACTACTACTAC